TGAATGACTGACAGGAGGTGTCAGCCCGGTCTCCCTGTCTCCCCAAAACCTGCGCCCCTCCTGCACCTGACATCCCCACCTCTGCTTCCCAGAGGCTGCCCTGTAAGGGACCCCTGGTGTTGGGAGGGCTGCATCCCTTCTCAGTCTGCTGTGCACCGTGAGGGGACCCTGGGAGCCCAGACCTGCAGAACGGCTGAAAGATGGGGCCTCAGGCTGGGCGTGGTGGCTCACGCCTGTAATCCCAGCACTTTAGGAGGCCGACGTGGGTGGATCGGCTGACGTCAGGAGTTCGAGATCAGCCTGGCCAACATGGCGAAACCCTTCAGGAGGCTGAGGCAGGAGAATGGCGGGAACCCGGGAGGCGGAGCTTGCAGTGAGCCGAGATGGCGCCACTGCACTCCAGCCTGGGCGACAGAGCCAGACTCCATCTCAAAAAAAAAAAGAGTCTTTGCAGACGTAAGTAAGCTAGGGGACTTCAGATGAGTTGGAGTCAGTGGATTAGGGAGGCCTCAAAATCCAGTAACAGGTGTCCTTCTAAGAGACAGAAGAGGAGACACAGACACAGAGGAGGAGGCCACGTGGAGACAGAAGCAGAGACTGGAGTGATGTGGCCACAAGTCCAGGGACACCTGGAGCCCCCGGGAGCTGGGAGAGGCAGGAAGGAGCCTCCCCTAGAGCCTCCAGAAGGAACCAAACACAACTGCAGTGGGTTGAAAGGTGATCCCTAAAACATATGTTCATGTCCTCACTCCCAGAACCCCCTAACCTCTGGATAGGACCTTACTTGGAAATAGGGTCTTTGGTGGATTCAATTACATGAAGGACCTCAAAATGGATTTTCAATTTGTTGGATTTGGGATTTTGGGTGTCCCCTAAATGCAATGACAGGTGTCCTTGTAAGAGACAGAAGAGGAGACACAGACACAGAGGAGGAGGCCACGTGGAGACGGAGGCAGAGACTGGAGTGATGCGGCCACAAGCCCAGGGACGCCTGGAGCTGTCAGGAGCTGGAAGAGGCAGGAAGGACCCTCCCCTAGAGCCTCCAGAGGGAACTGGATACACCTGGAATAGATTGAACTGTGGTCCTCCTGAAAAATCTGTCCATATCCTGATCCCCAGAACCTGTGAATGGGACCTTGTTTTAAAAAGGGGTCTTGGTAGATGTAATTAATAATCTCAAGAGGAGATCATCATGAAGAAGGGTGGACTCCAAGTCCCATCACAGGTGTCCTTCTAAGAGACAGAAGAGGAGACGGAGACACAGACACAGAGGAGGAGGCCACGTGGAGACGGAGGCAGAGACTGGAGTGATGCGGCCACAAGCCCAGGGATGCCTGGAGCCCCCAGGAGCTGGGAGAGGCAGGAAGGATCCTCCC